TCTCTCTCTCTCTCTCTCTCTCTCTCTCTCTCTCTCTCTCTCTCTCTCTCTCTCTCTCTCTCTCTCTCTCTCTCTCTCTCTCTCTCTCTCTCTCTCTCTCTCTCCTGCTCTCGCTCTCCTTCGCACTCTCACTCATTCACTCTCGCTCTCATATTGATTTGGTATACATATATCAATTCTTTTACAAAATATGTTCTAGCTTTATATAGGCTATATTTTAATACTATAGTATAAAACATGAATAATGATAAAATATTAATTAAACGAAACGCATTAATAGCTGTATAAAGGGAAAATAAATATAATGGAAAATTCAATGGATGATGTAAAAAAATCTTATTTTATATAATAATTTAGTTTTCAATAAAATAAATATGTAATAAAATAACAAGTGCAATTTTCAATAATATAATTTTGTACATACACATTTTTGTACGTTTGAATAGAATTTTTAATTTTTTTTTTTTAGAATATTCATTTTTAACTTCTTTAGACGGAGAGGGAGGGAGAGAAAGAGAGAGAGAGAGAGAGAACAGAAAATTATTACAAAATTTTCTGCACCATTAATATAAGTACTTTATGTTCGAATAAAAATAATTACGTCATCATTAGATTAACATACGTCCTTTAAAATATATGTACTAGTTAAAGAATCGTTGTCCATTCTACCGCAATAAATCTACCCTTATTTCTCTCGTGTTTTTCAAGGGCTACAATATACAAACGCTTTAGTTTAAGCGGAAAAATAGACTTTGCGATTTGTGCTTGCGTGCAAAAATTGTTCGTGCCGCTTATGACAGCCTGAGAAAGCGTCGTCTAGGTTGATGTCTAGAGAATAGCCCGGGAACCGAGGTCGGCCGGCTCGGTGGCGGTGTCTCTTTTAAGGGCGCGAATATTGGCCTCCTCAATAGTATGAATGGGCCAATATTCAAATGAGCCATGTTTAGTGCACGCGCGACGATAGAAGCGCGGCGGTGCAATTATGCGAGGTGTTAATACGATCACAATGGTGGTTCGCCGGGGTTGTTCACCAGCCTCGACTACACGCGGACGAGACAAAGTTTTGTCCCCCGCAGGAAACGAGTTCGGTGCGAGAGGGCGGCTCGCGGTCGATCCTCGCTGGAGGCATCGCCGGATTATTATTGACGGCCCTGCCGAACGGCCGGTCCGGCTGATGTAATTGGGATTAGATCTGTAAAAATACGGCAGAGCGCTTATGCGAGAACCGCGCGAGATCGGATCTTTCTGTGACCGCGTCCACGTATTTCTGCGACGAGGAACAGATTCGAAATTAATATGACAGAGAAGTGGCAAATTATTCTAGAGTTTAGACTATCCTGCGCATCATTATTAAAAAGATTTTCAGCAGTGAAGATGAAAAGTAAATCAATTAACTTCTAATCCTTTTCATTTTCAACAACGAATATCAACATCGAAATAAAGTGATTCAAACGTTTGTATTAAACTCACGTCGACTAATTTGTCCCGGTTTATGCCATGATATTTGAAGAAAGGTTTTATCGTTGCGCATTCTGCATCAAATCATTTATGCGAAGCGCACACCAGATGCAACTTGAGTGCGTATCGCTTATCGGTCCGCGATACTGCTTGGAAGCGTGCCGTTTCGAGTATCACCGTGACAAATTTCAAGTGAGCTTTGTATCCCCATAAACCATTATTTATCTCAATTTGTCGCGTCTGTTTAAGGGAAAGCAAACGGGGAGAGGAGGGTGGTTTCGAGATTTACCGATGCCCCGTTACCATTTTCCCTCTGTATCGCTCGCACGTGTATCAACCCGACGTGACCGCAATGTATCTGAATCAGTTAAGGAATAAATAAGCAGGCAACACTTACGTAGGATAAAATTTATACCTAACGCGAATACGTGTGCGTAATCATATCTATTTATACACAGTTGGAAAATTTGCGTTTTCTTGTTTAAAAAAATGTTAATGTAAAGTAATGCAATTGCATCTCTTCTACAAGATATCGAAATTAACAAATTAGAGTAGCAAATCATTGAAATATACCTGGACATTGCAAAGTAATATATTTATATTACGAAGTATTAAAAAATCATGCATATATTGAATGCAATTAATATTAGAGAAAAGTCATTGCTAAATTGGTAAGCATATCATCTGTTGGTTCGACCATGAATTTATTGCTCTTGGAGCGAAATCTGCTGAGTGGAAAATTGATTGTTGGATCGTGTAATCGTTGCGAAAAGAGATCTGTGATTCAATTTGGACGTTGAAAACCTACTGTCTCATATTCGAACTCTACCTCGTAATAGAGAACTTTGCTCTAGCTGTTAAATCTAAGTGAACTTTTCATGCAGTTCTACAAAGTACACAAAACTTCTAAATTAAAAGCGTAATATAAAAATATACTTTCTAAAAATAAAGAGACATCAAAGTAGCATAATTTGAAAACAAAGCTAGATTATAGGACAATAAGAAGGAATTATCTCAGAGATCAACCGACACATTCCAATTTGTATATTATCTAATCGCATATCGCGGGATAGAGATCTGTCTGTGAGGATTGCAGTCGCCGGAGTCAAATCCACTTCCGATTCGTTTCTTTCTTCGGACGAGAGGCCCGGTCGGAGATCGACGATATCCAAGCAAACATTTAATTCGCGATTACATTATTTTCGAGGGGCGAGGACCAGCCGACTACCCCGCTCCCCTGTCAACGCCAAAGCATCCCCCTCGGCACGCACACGCGTGTCCGTCGAACGGTTTGGGACGTACTCGAACCACTCTTCGACCCCTGGAATAATAGAGATTTCACGCCGCAGGGCCCACTTCGGTTCTCACAGTAGGGGTCTGGCCGTCGAACGATCTCCTGTTGTCCAAGTCGTTCGTTTTACGCTCGTGCTCGCGCGAGGACATTTAATCCACCGGGCGGCGCGATCGTGTGCCTCTAAGTATCTGTTTATAGTCCTTGGGGATCAATTTGTTTGCCAAATTATTTATTGGTCAAGCGGGCAGACGAGAACGGCGCCTCACGCTACCGCGAATTTGTTTGATCTGCGATTGGGAATGCGGTTTGGGAAAAACAAACATCGCGATCCCTGCGCATTAGGGTATTCTTTATCTTTATCCGTTGAGCCGCGACATATCGAACCTTTAAATCGCGTATTCAAAATCCCAGTATGTTGAGCGAGAAAGAGATAAATGGAAAAATATTGGTAAGAGAATTAATTTCAAGAATTATTTAAAGAGAAATATAACGCCGGCTTTGAGATACAATTTTCTTTCTTCCGCGGAAAAAATTTCACACACTGGTATATCGCAAAGAGTATTTCACATTACAAAGAAAAAAGGGTTTCAAAGATACCTCAAAAAGTTGGAGCAGTATTAAAATCAATAACCATGGGAGAACAATACGTAAAGAAAGATGCAGTAGAAGATATGGCTAGCCATTTTTTCTTCTGGATCCAATCTGTGGAAGTTTTGACAGCAACTCGTGCATTAATCTACTAGGAATTCACGTGAATTAATGTATTGTGCAATTACAAAATTTCGAAATTTTTTAACTTTCGCAATTTCTTTGGAATTTGATTTTAAACGATTAAATTATAAACACTTTTCTTATTTTTCTTATCTAGACAGAGAAAAAGTTAAGTACATTTAAATACGTTTAAAGAAACAAAAACCGATTATTTTATATTAAAGTGTTTCCTTTTTTTCTTTCTCCATTTAATGTATGAAAATATTTAAAAAAGTATCTTTTACTTTTATGTCTCTACATTACAACAAAACTACATCGAGATCGATTGTGGAGACTTGCATGGTTTCTTATCAATTAAAGGCATACGTGCCTTAGTATGTAATACTAAAATAAATATATGAAATTACTCTTGCTATCGGAGACTAGAATATTGTAATTATTTGTCACTAACAAACCAGACACCCATGCAAATTTATGCCCCTGAGTTTTCTTAACGCCTAACACCCGTAGAAATTCTCCTTCCGGGGAAAAAATCTGCACCCTTCCATTTCCAGCGTCGCCAACAATGATGTATCCCTTCGCGTCGATCTTCAGTACCTCAGGTGATCTACGAATTAAAAACTATTGTCTAGTAAGTCTCCAGATTCTAAGAATAATATAAACTTGGCGTCGATAAAATAATTGAACTTTATATTAACCTAAATAAACCCTTTGCCGTGCCGACGCCACCGATCGACTGGAGTATTTGCCCATCGTGATTAAATATCTATAGATAAAAATTGTACCTATTCTCAATATTCGTTAGTGCAACAATAATAATATACTACAAGATAAATGTATAATTTTTTCAATAATTTATACATATATACACGTAATGTACAATTAATGTACACACGCATGCACACACTTTCTTCAATATTTTATAATCCCTTTAATTTTTTTCTGCAATATTGATGCAGTATACAAGTGCAACTTAAATTTCCATGAAGCTCGAAGGAAACTTAGTTTAAGCTAGAACAAAGATGAAGTATCCGTGACAACCTTAAGAATGACTGCACCTTTACTTTGTGATTGCCGGAATCGGCGATGACGACGCGCGTTATTGTGACAGCCACGTCGGTCGGTTCATTCAATTCGCTCGCGGTCGGGCCAGTCTTTTTACGGAATCTCACGGTGCCGCTTTTAGTTTTACCCTTGGGTCCGATGCTGTCCAGGTACGTGCCATCCCTCTCGAGAATCTGGATACGATTATTCCCGGTATCAGCGACGTAAAGCACGCTGAGTTCCGGATGAAAGGAGATTCCTTCCGGCGAGCACAGCTCCGACTCGCTGTGACCTTTATCGCACATGCGGCGAACGAGCTCGCCTTTGTGATCGAACACGAAGATGCAGTGCTTCCACTTGTCTACGAGAAGCACCGAAATGCGAATAAGTGGTCACTGATAGTTCAACGAAATACAAATTCACTCGTAAATATAATTATTGTCTGAATTAATACACCGAGCTTATCAAGCTGTGAATAAACAATTTCAATCAATGCATAAGTGCATATATTAATTGCCTTAGTAGCAGGTCGTAGCATGTAGATTGGAAATCACTATTATTATACCTATATTAATTATGTGGAGGTTGTAACTCTTTTCTGAGCAAGATAAATAGAAATGATGAAGGAAAATCTTCGCTATTTAATATGATCTGCTATTCTATGATTATATATTTATTTTAAATCGATGCACTGATGCAAGCTGCACTTTCTTAAATGAAATTATATACTTTTTTAATCGATTCTTCTTATTATTCTATGTATAAAACTATTAGGCCTAGTTTAGTTACGAGAATCGCTCCACATTATATTACGTGATTTGAATAGCAATTTACTATATACGTTTATTAATTATTGGTGTACTTATTTCGTATATTTTCATTTCGTTGAACCGTTTGTCTAAAAGAAAAAGATGTACAGACGCAACGAAAGCTAGTGAGGAAAGTTTAAAATTCGGGAGGTCAATCTACGCTTTAGGATTAAATATTGAAACCTGTCACGTATATCTCGTCGTGTTCCTGCAGGAAGGCAACTCCTTGAGGTGCCATCATCTCCTGGTGACGAATCCTCCGCACAAGTTTGAGCTTCCTGTCGAGAATGACAATCCGTCCCGATCCCGGACAGGTTGCGATAATGTTATCCCTCCAGGAATCAATGGCAAGTGCCGATGGTCGCAGGACTATGTCACGGGTCACGATAATTTTGGGTGTGAAATTTTTCCGCCTGCCGTATCAATTTCTTTTACTTCACGACATCGTACCGTTACATATTGTATAATATTTAGTATCTACGGAATCCTTCACGTAAAATGACTTTCATTTAGATTTAAAGTGCACATGATATTAAAAAACGCAGGTAACACAGAAGTTAAAGTTCTTATACAGACGTGCTCCGAAAGAAACGCTTATACATATATTCATGTATGTATATTTTAGGAACCTCTTGACACTTTTATGTTCATTGATAAAAAATAGTTTCTTGGCACAAATTTTAAAAATCTAAAATTTCCTTCGTTTTCTCTTCTTTTTTTCTACAAAATGCTGTGGCCATTTTGTCACAAATTGTAAGAAAACTTTCGATTTTAAATTCCACTCACTTGTAACCTTTCTCAATAGAATTGCAGAGTTAAAATTATAGATAGAGGAAAGTCCTCTATTACGAGATAGAATTCTAATACGAGATAGCAGGTTTTCAACGTCCAAATTCAATGGCAAATTTTTTTTCGCAACGATTACGCGATCTAACAATCAATTTTCCACTAAACAGATTTCACTCCAAGGGCAATAAATTCATGGTGGAACCAACAGATGATGCTTATCAATTTAGCAATAACTTCGCTGTCCCATGTTAAGAATCTATCTCGTAATAGGGGACTTTTCTCTACTATAACAAAAAGATGCGTACGTAAATGATCAAAAACTAGTCTAAATTTGACGAAACTAATACAATAACTGTGTACAAAATATGGTTGTTATAAAAAAGAGTTACTTACTTGTACGAAGGGCCAGTCTTTTCTCTTGTAAATGATCTTCCTTGCTTATTAACTTTTCTAAGCTCCGCTTCAACATCATTCAATTCCGACTGCCAAATGGTAACTGCGGCCGTTATTTCGGCGGCCTTTTGCTGTAGGTCTAAAAACATTTTCACCTGAAATGGACAATTAGCGTATTATCAAAGACGAAATAAAATGGTAAAGCAGTCACGCGATACACACGTATATGCGCTTAATAAAATCCCAATCTCATTGGACACTAATAAACGAAATAATTCACGCTTAAAATTAAAGACAGATTTTTATTCCCAAGCGCCGATACAACGATGAAAGTTTCCTCCAGTGTGAGAAGTTGGGTCGCGGATAAATCGGCGAATGAACGAAAATGAAATATGCAGAGCAATGCAGTTGACGTTCTTTGCCGCAAATCCCGCGCGGTGTGCAACGACGCGTCGCTAAATTGCGGTCAATTTTCTGGTATAAAGAGAGTGAGAGAGAGCGAAAAAGAGAGCGAGGGGGGAGAGGGGAAGAAAGATAGAAGGAGGGAATGAGAGGGCAAAAAAAAAGAGAGCGGTGAAGCTTTGTGCTTTCTGGCACTTACGGTACCCCGAACTGCCCCGAAGTCGTACCACCGGCGGTCACGTGGCGAAGCGTGCGGGCCCTTTGTTCCGATCGCGGTCCCTCTCCTTTCTCTCTTGCTCGCCCTGACCGTTCGATCGTCGCGAATAGGAGGATCGTTGCGATTCAATGTGCGAGGACACGTGTACCAAATAGGCTTGGTTGCCCAAAGCCTGTTTGCGCCAGCGACGAATCTCCGACATCGCGTCGGCGATTCGCCAATACCATAATCTGACGAAGAATTTTCATCGAGGACCGATTTCTTTCTCATTTCGGTGAAAATAGATACATGTGTATGAACAAAAGAATATATATATGTCGATGTACTTGGGTTCTATTATATTAGCATTTAAATCTTGGACTTGAAGAAGATGTGCGAGGACACACACGTGTACCAAATAGGCTTGGTTGCCTAAAGCCTGTTTGCGCCAGCGACGAATCTCCGACATCGTCGGCGATTCGCCAATACCATGGCATAATCTGACGAAGAATTTTCATCGAGGACCGATTTCTTTCTCATTTCGGTGAAAATAGATACATGTGTACGAACAAAAGAATATATATATGTCGATGTACTTGGGTTCTATTATATTAGCATTTAAATCTTGGACTTGAAGAAGATGTGCGAGGACACACACGTGTACCAAATAGGCTTGGTTGCCCAAAGCCTGTTTGCGCCAGCGACGAATCTCCGACATCGGCGATTCGCCATTGTCATAATCTGACGAAGAATTTTCATCGAGGACCGATTGCTTTCTCATTTCGATGAAGCTTAGAAGATACATGTGTATGAACAAAAGAATATGTCGATGTACTTGTTCTATTATATTAGCATTTAAATCTTGGACTTGCTTGGACTTGGACTTGCTGGACTTGGACTTTGCTACCTCCTCTTTCTCTCTTTCTCACACACACAGTTATAAAAATACTACGTTTGTTTTTGTGATAATTAGATAATCTTAGATCTTTGCGTCTGTCATGGCGAAAAATGTTTAGGAAACGAAGAAAAGTCATATTATTTCTCGGAGGCAAAGATACGCCTTTCTCCCAAATTCGTGGCATTTATTTTTGTGCCACATGCGACTCGTCGGATCGTTCAAAGTGCATCTCAACTGGTGACTTCAAAGCGCGGGTGCAAAGCGCGTCCGCCGTCGTTTTTTCGCGACACTTAGCGTGCCGATACGTTTCACGCCAATCAGGCGGACAGGGCGACGCGTGCCGATAAAATGGTCACCCAAGAATCGACATCTCTGTCCGACAATTTGGTGCCTTTCCTCCGCGAGAGCGGAAGTTGCCGACTGAACCAGCCGTCTCCAGAGCGATGTGCGAAATTCCGTAGGCAGAAAAATCAAGGGGGATGAGCTTCTTAACAAGATGCGCCAGTTCGGAGAACACTGCAACCTTGCGAGACGCTGCAAGATCTTCAGCATCTACTGTAGCAGAAACACAACAATAAGTTGGAAAAGTGGTTGTAATTCGCAAACCAAACAGGATCACATGGACCGTACATTTACGTGAACTCCTTCAACTGCCTTACAACGTTACATCATTTCTGAAATAGATTCTGCAAATAATATTCTACACACACACACGCGCGCGCGCGTGCAAGCACGTGTATATGCGACTGTATTGCGTACGTATTAGAACGTACGCATAAAAGTTACTAAAAGCTATTGGCTAAAATAATTTTTTATTCGTTGAAAATACGAAAGACAAGAACCCTAGGTAGCAAGCCGATTGTCGCTATTTTGACGTTAAAATGACGTGTTTTGACGATACGTCGGCGTCAAAATGACGACAAATAACGTCGGCACGCTACCTGGTAATTGCCCTGTTCAAAATAGCGAATGTAATGGTAGAAATAAATTTTTTATACGCTTTTTAAGCGTTTTTATGAGATATCAACGTTTGCACCCCTCTGTTACGTTCACGCGCGCGTGCAACAGCTACAGCGACGGTTCTTTTTTAGCGATTGGCAAATGAGCCAATCTGGAAATCTAGAACCCCCTCCCTCCCCCTGTCGCAGTTAGACCGCGCCACCCCCCCCCGTGCACGCGTTCTTTAACCAGCGCGATATAAACATACACGTCGGAATTAATGATACACCGTTTAGTTACGCGTCAGTTGATTTTCCCAGGGCAGCAGCTTTGTGAATTTCAAGGGGCGTACGGTGGAGGGAGAGGGGGGTAGGGGAACTTGTATCTTAGGGGATCCGACACGCGCACTTCAATATGTCACTGTGGCTAATTTTAGGGGGCCAACTACCCCGCCACCGGCCACCCCGGGCACCGCCGGACCTCAAAGACGGGAAGAGGGTGTATCGTATTCTGTAATCACCTGCAGTAATCAGCATCGAATCCAACTTTCGACTCGATTGTTTCCCTGTCGACGTCCACTATCCTCCCCTCCTCGGCGCCCGCGTATTGACGAGCCTCCACGGCACATTGTATTAACTCTTTCATCACCACTTAGGGCCAGTTTCACAAACGTCGGTCGACTGCTAACCGAGGGTTAATTGATTTTCTGTCTCCTCTTAGATAGCAAGATAGAACGAGGTAGAGAGTTGACTGAACTCTGGCTAACAGTTAACCGACGTTTGTGTAACTGGCCCTACCCAGGTAGCACAAGACACCCCTATGAACATTTTAAGAGAATATTCTTCAAGAATATTTGGACCATTCCATAGGTCATCCTTATATATTTATCTTATGTTCGTAGAACATTCGACTGGCGCTACTGTAAATCTTTTTCGAATACGAATAGAGTAATCTATCGAATATAGCGTGTACAAATAACGTTAAGAATTATTTGACGCCAGCAAATGACTAACAATGATCACTAACGATGAAATGTACGCGTAGGCAACATCTACACTGTTGTTGCGACAAATATTATCACATGCCTCGGTGGTCGAATTGGCGAGACGCCCGCCTAGGGTGTAGGGAGGTCCAGGTTCAAACCCTGGCTGAGGTAATATTTTTCGCAATAAATTTTCTGTGTTAAAAACACATCACATTAAAAGCTTGATTGTTGTCAGTCATTTGCTGGCGTCAAATAATTCTCGATGCTCTACTTTTACTTGATAAAATTGCTGCGCGACTTTTTAATATCGTCCTAGAAAAATTTGTACCCGTTGTCAGTTGTCTTTTCGCATAATTCCGTTCAGTTTCGACGAATGATCGGGGCGGCCACTGCATCATTGTTATTCGTCGGATTAATACAGACGATGAGAGACGAGTTCGACAATTAAGTGACTTCGGCGAATGATTCGGCGGTGCGTTACATAATTGTCAGGCCAGTCAGTCATCGGGCGAATTTTCCGGGCTCGGCGAATATCCGCGCTAGCGGGTGCGGTAATAAATTATAAAAGATGATCGGTAATTAACAGTAACTGCAACTGGATAGCGTTTATGCCGTCGCTATGGAATATACGCCCGCCGGTGCCTGTAGCTGACTCTTTATGGTGGGGTGTGCTCGTGACGTGAATTATTAGCCCTTGGGCTCTACAGAGAACCTCCGGGTTGAGTCTACATACATATATGTATATGTATGTGCGTGTGTGTGTGTTCTCTTTCTCTGTGTATGCGGGATTTGTGTTCGCGGGCGTGGCCTGGCGAGAGTGTCGGGCGTGGCTACGAGCCAACCCCGAAAAAGCTATGCCCCGAGAGAAAGAGAGCGTGCTGAGGGAATGTATTTACGGGGAATTGATTCAGGATGGATCCCATTTCGCCCACGCGAATGTATAAGCTGCAAAATCCGCTTTTCTTACCTACTTTGAACAGCCGCCGAGGAGCATCCTCTCTCGCGGGTATTTTCCATCGATATCGAAGCGATCGAGTCGCGATCGATTCGAACGTGTCGGCGGATAAATTTCGAGGGTCATCGGGAATTTAAATGGCAAATTTCACGCAGAGCATCGCAGTTGTCTAGATGCATTTCTTACGGGTTTTCTTTCAGATTACGTTTGGATCCAAACTCGAGATTCTTTTAGTGACAATTGAAAAATTGAAGGATCTCGACAAGTGGGAGCTGAAGAATATAATAGATTACGAAATCTTCGTTTCTCGAGTGGCGAATCTTGCGTGCTTAAAAAAAGATTTAACTCGTTTAATTCAATTCAATGTACTACGACACTTATACCAATGTAGATTAAGTTTAATTTCGGTTCAACTTACTTTTTACGTCTTACAATTAGAGAAAGTGATAAGTCACATCGAAATTAAAATTAAAATTAATCCGCACTGATAGACATTAATGTTGAAAAAGAAAAAATTGCGATAGATTGATTGCTTGTTGCGAGAAATGCTTCCTCAAGAGACTGAAGAGGTATCGTGTAAAAGAATTAGAAAGAAATACAACAAAACTAATGTACAGAAATTATTAAAATTGTACATGTTCGTCATAAAGCGCAATATGGCGACGAAGTCGCAAGTGTATCTCCATTCGGTTTATTTCCTTGCGGTATAGGGATTCTCTACCTTGAGAATGAGCGGCAGAGTGAGAAATGAATGGAGAGAATGAGAGAATGAGAGAATGAGAGAATGAGAGAGAGAGAGGGGGGAGAGAGAGAGAGAGAGAAAGACTCGTAAAGGGACAAGCAGTGAGAGAAAGAGGGAGAGGAGGAGAAGGAGGAGGAGGCAGGCCGCGTTGCGGAGAAAGAGACAGGATTCAGAAGAGCCTTTGCCATCGTACCAGACCACCGTGCCTGCGTTTGTACAGTGGTAATGGGCTGTCAGGAGCAGACGTTGGCTGCTCGTGCCTTATACACCAACACCATTATCCTCTTGCTATCCCGGTTAGGTCCTATCGGTTCGCGAACCCGCCCTGAACTCGCTCTCTCGTCGCATCCCTCTATCTCTCCCCAGCCTCACGGCTCATTCCTCGTCGTTATCGTCAGTTTTTTTTGCTCGATTTAACGTCGGTACATTTCTGCATTCTATACGAATATAGCTTTTCTACTATGTTTTCAACATTCTAAGCCGAACTTGGTAATGCTCGGCTGATTCAAAATTTATTAGCAGTCGTTTTCGTTTCCTGTTCATAATTTTTGTCATAGGTAACATTTTGTTACCTTTGAGTTTCTTTTTGAAGAGAAAAAAGTTCATAAAATGTGTCTTGTAAAAAAAACTGAAGAAAAGATTTTTTAATTTAAAGACAAGTTTGTCGATTGTCGGTAGCCTCATCAATTATTTTTTTCTTCTAGAATTGAAATTAGAAGACTAAAATATCAGTTAAAATTAACCGATTAATTGTTGACATTCATTTTAAACAATTGTTAACACATAATTTTAACTCACATCACTTACACTGAAATTTTTCAAGATAATTATGAGTAGGCATGTGTTGTAACCGATAAGCTTTAGAAAATTAAACATTAAAAGTAAAAATTATTGAATAAGAAAACGTGTTTTTAAACGACATACTTAATTATGACTATGGGTGTGCTGCTAATTTATTACACAAGAGCTTGTGACACGTCTCTCTCTCTCTCTCTCTCTCTCTCTCTCTCTCTCTCTCTGTGCGCGCGCGGGTGCATACGAATTTGGGTATCACTTTTAAAACGTGTCAAAAACAAAACTCTGTTAAAACATAATCGAGCATCGTCTGAAACACATAAAGCAAGCGTATTAAATTGAAATATAAAACGAATATACTGAATAACATAATATATGATAGTCGAATTAATTTAATTTATTTAAATTACCTTTCACATAAAAAAATTATTGCAATATGTCCGAAATAATATTAATTATATGCATTCCTTCTATTCAAAATAAAATCTGTCACACTTTACTAAAGTACTTTATAAATTAAAATTTAAATATAGCAGATTAGCAAAGAATCTTATGCAAGGCGTATCGATACTTCAATTTGTAACTGTATCATTTACGTGATACTTTCTATTTAAATGCAGACATATCTCGCATATGCCCTTTCTACACCTACGAACGATCTTTGTGGCTCATCCGAGTGGAGAAATGTACACGGACATTCTAATATGACCACCATACTAGAGTATGAATTTTAGTTCACTATAATTTTTAACCGTCTTTTTATGTAGAAATGGCACCATAAATGGTCTCAATACGGCAATTTTTGCCCGTCTATCTACTCACTAAGATGATTCTACTTGTGGCTCATCCTTGTATTAGGTGTAGAAAAAACAATAGATATGTATGCTACTCTCACATGTTTCATTTTCACGTGAGAGAGAGAGAGAGAGAGAGAGAGAGAGAGAGAGAGAGAGAGAGAGAGAGAGAAATATGTAACATGATAAATAATAATTGTTCAATACGAGACTACTATTTTTTAACGAAATAAACAATCATTACATCTATCTCTACGTAAATCAACAAATGTGTATTATGGTAATATTTTATTGTGTATATTTTATTATGATATCGCGATTACGAATAATTATTGTGAAAATTACTGCTTTAAAAACAGAGAAAGATGGAGGAGAGAAAGAGAGATGTCATTTTTCACAACATTAAATTTCAGAAAATTCTAGAAGTGGATTATTAAAATTATAATTTCTCGGCACGAGAAACAAACTGCCCGAAACGTCTTTACTTATTACTGTAAACCTGGTAATCATTTCGCAAATAACATATTCGCAAAGTCAAACCTTTGCATACTGTCTTTTGCTATTTGCATCTTCGACGAACAGTTAAATTCTATAATATCTTATTTATCGTATTTCATCCTGATTACATGCAACGAGGTATCATAATCTCACGATATTTTCTCGCGTCAGCTCTCCTTAGATTTTCCCAACGATAATTTTCTCACAGTCTTTTTTGCGTGTGTTACGTAATGTTCCTGTTGTCGGCACAGTTTTCCAGGTCTCGGGTTTCTCGTCTATCTTATTAACTTATTAACTTTGTAGGAAACGATGAAAATTCCGACTAAACCCAGCAACCCCTGCTTCTCGCCTCGACCAACTCCACATGCTCGCCATCCACCTCCCCCTCCCTCTGCCCACCCTTCCACGTGCCTTCCTCCTCCCAAGTAATCAATACTGTGAGGCGTCCTGCACGGGACAGGTACAATGCTGGTCCAGATTTTAGAACCGGAGGAGAGATCGGGGTGTAGCGTTAGAAGAAGCGGAGAAAACCAGGTTTACTTTAGCTCGAAAAAGAACGGCAGACTGGACTGTTTTCGATAATTCGATAACTTCTTTCGATTTTTCTGCCATGGACAAATGCCGATATGTAATTTTTTTTTAAATAAATACACGTCGAGAAACCTCACTAATTTTTTTCACACTGTTTCTTTACTCATCACTAATCTCGGTTGAAATATTACGCAATAAATTGATCAATTAAGCAAATTAATTAAAATCTATTAAAATTCTTATGTAAAAAATAGAATAATTAAGTAAAAGAAAAAGATTGATAAGGAATAAAAAGAAGAATCTTTATCGATATACATAATAAGTGTGCAGAAAGATGTTTAAAATGATATTTAAAGATTGTTTTTAATCTATTGAAATTTATTATCTAATTAAATATTAAATTTTTAAATATATTCTTAGCTTCGTGTAAATTTTTCAATTCTATTATTTAATATATAACTTATGTAGGAAACGTTACATATTCATAAATGTACTCTACACACATACACGTAGAATAGACTCCTCTTTTTATTTGATGAAAAATTAAAATATTAACAGTTCAATGTGCCATACCTTTTCCTCATTATCAGATAGAGTATCATATAACACTTCCTTCTGTTCTGTTATCTCCGCCTGAGTTATCTGCATCCTTTGCCTAATATCGTCAACCGATTCTTCTCCCGTAGCAACTATATGCTCTACCTTCTTAATGCGATTCTCCTTCGTTTTATTCAGTTCAATTATCTGAGCCTCGATGTCTCTTTTAATAAATTCCACCGTTTCGTTTGCTTTACTCTGTAATAAAAAAATCAATTAACTTTTAAACGCGCGAGCACGTGCGTACATGTTTGCAGATTTTTAACGATAACTGCCAGCCTAACGTCGTTGGATAATCCTTTCTACTGTTAATAAACTACTTACACTCATTCGTTGTTTAACGATAAGACATTATCCATTTAACTTCAAACGTGTCGTAAAAAAGTCTTAGTGTATTTTCGGGTGTAATTTAAATATTTCTAAAATATTCTTTGTTATATAAGAGAGTTAATTAATAAATTGTGATTACCTGAAAGCTACTTATTTTCTCTTCGAATCTCGTCGCTGATGTCTCGAGATCTCCGTTTATATTGCCTAGTTCATCTTTCAAATCATTGGCATGACTTGTCCAGCAATCGTCACAGAATCTCTATGAAAATATTAACAAGTAAATTTCATGAAAGGAATTTTATTCCTTATCATCCACTCTATTTTATAAATACAACTAAGGTTTTGATAAATTGATAGCTACATTTATTCATGCAAAGCATTAATATACTCATGTTAGGAATGAGAGGAAATAATTATTGTAATACTAATGTAATTGTAATGCACACGCGAAGATTGATAATAATTTCAAGCTATTTCATTCCCGAAACACATATTTACAAGAATCACGTTAATATCCAAGTCTGTGAACTGTACTTACACGTTTGCAGTGTTTGCATTTGTTTATAATCTTGCGAACCTCGCCGCAGGAACGGCATATCTCGTCACGTATTTTTGGTGGTAAAGGCGCAAAGCTCACCGTACTTTTCGATTCTTGCTTAGCTGATGCAATTACTGCTACATTGCATACAGGGCATATAGAGCTGCCATCTAAAATAAAAAAGGCTGTTAATTACAGTATATTATTAAATATTTGAATTTATCCAAAAATCCACAAGATGTAATCAAAATGTGAATTTGCATCATTAACGCCATCTCCATAAAATTGTTTTCCAAATTATTTTGCTTAATAATTTCGAATTTTTAAGTGTGACACGCTGCAATAATTATAAGCGCATGTTAAGTGAATTTCTAATGGCAAATCTATTATATATATATTATTAAAAAGCATGATTAAAACGAGAACATTATGCAATGTATGTATATCAAAATACTTGTAGAAAGTATAAAATAGAGGACCGATAATATAAATTTGTTTTAAATTCTTTTAATGTACACTAGGAATCACTGATGCCTTCCCATATGAATTTAGGCACATGTAGAATGCGTATACATTTTCCATGTATGTATACGCAAAATGTATAAATGTGCACAAATTCATGCGGGATGGCATCGGTGATTCCTAATGTACATTTACGATTAAAACGTTTAAAATAAATGTTCATTGCTAAATATGATCATAGTATAACAAATTTACTTGTTTATTACATTTGTATAATCGAGATACTCCTCGTCTAATAAAATATAAACGTAATAAAGTACCATATTAATAAAATTAATTATGTAAAAATATATATTAAACAACATCCAACGCAATGGTAAATAATTACAGTGCTTGTAATGCATTCATTGTTTATTATGCAGATATCGAATCCAGCTTACTAATTTATTAACTGATTATACTTTCAAAAGTGGATTATATGCATACATGAAAGACAAATGGTGATATCGACTTGATAATTACATTATGTAAAATTCAGTGCAGTACATGATCAATTAGGGAATCTCGCAAACTCGGAAATTCTCATTCTAATTAAAAGAATTGTATTGCATACATGTAGATGAGACAATTAGATGAATTTAAAATTTGTTTTCATTAGATGCCAAAACATCTCGAAGAGTGAAATTAGCTGGCTTTAAACAGGCTTTCTAATAAGAGATATTTTTAACTGTCTCTCTCCCTCTCTCTCTCTTTCTTTCTTTAACTGAAAATTTTTTTACGTATCTATTTATTTTATCCACATGTATACAAGATTTGATGAAAATCAGAGTTTTCAGGTTAGTAATTTCTTTGTAAGTTAAATTAAGCATACGTAAACCAAGTGAGCGTATGACATTGATTAAGTCAGCCGTAATTAACATTTTTAGAAAAATCATAAACATTATAAAATTTGACACTGTGTTAATTTTTATAATGATTTAATATCATGAAGAAAATTGTGAAATTAAATATTATTAAGAAATGCAATATTATTAAAATGCTTGTCATCAATGTTAGTTGGCTTAATCGAAACGTGAAACAATTGCTCATAAAAAACTAGCGTTTCAAATAAAACTGTACCTCTGTTGCGTGATAACATAAAACGATTTTGGAAACATTGCAGGCAAAAAATGTGTCTACATTTCATCATTCTGGGTGATCTTACGATGCTCTTGCATGCCACGCATTGCGATCCGTTCACAGATTCGAACGAAGTGGTCCTGTCGTAGGGAAAATAAACAGCAATTAATTAGTAACAATTGAAAATTGCAAAATTAATAATGACCAGTATCTTAATAATGAATTTACAAGCACTTGTTTTATAGCTTCCGACGTATTACAGTTCAAAATAAATGCCAATATTTGCAAGCACTCTCTCTATGCGTTTTCGCTCAAACAAATTATGGAATTGCATATCTGCTTTGAAAAACAATCGTATTTTTTTTCACGCCACTGATTTATCCGTTTATCCTGTGTATCGAGGTCGGTGGTCCAAAAATTTATAGTTTACGAGGTATTTCATAATTTACATCAAAATGTCAGAATGAGGTGTAAACTATTGATTTTTCAATAACTACTTTACCCACACATAGTTCTATAAATATTCTTCTGGAGTGCAAATATTCTCAACTTCAGAATATTCCAATCGAATATTCTATAAATGTGTATAGATTATTACAATTAGAAATCGTATATTCGTAACAAAGAAGAATATTTTTTTAATACTCGTCGAGAATATCTTTGGAATATTCGTTCAGAATAATTGTTTAATATTCATCGAGTTTATATATTGCACATTGTTTATTGTGCAATACACTTATCTTATGCAAAAGGCAGTGAAACCTGTGATCATACCATGTATAACCGACACGCTATATTCGACAGATTATTCTATTCACATTCGAAAAAGATTTACAGTAGTGCCAGTCGATTGTTCCACGAACATAAGATAAATTTATAAGTTATTTATATTGTTCTTTTATATTGTTCCTTAGTGTGCTGGTTTCTCTTTAATTTATTATTTTATATTATATGTTTATACCATATGGTTTCAGTTTACTTGAGAAGTTTACTCGAAACGGAGCCAAAACGTTGTAGATAAATAAATATATTGCCAGGTTGGTCAACGTACAACATAGCATTTTTATCTCTTTTATTTGAATATTGCTGGTGACAAGAAGAAAGACTTTTATTGTAAATTTATAAGAATGACCTATATGGAATATTCCAAATATTCTTAAAGAATATTCTTAAAATGTTCATAGGAGTGTCTTGTGCTGTCTGGGTTAATACTGATAAAGTTAAATATAATATACCCTAAAATAATATACAAGATAAAATATGAAAACGTGACTTTCACGGTAATTGTACCTGCGAGGACGGACGTTTTGCTCCCTCGGAGAAAAACTTCTGGATCTCACAGACCTTCTGCCAACGGAAGCGGATCTCCTTAAGGATCTCCTCGCTATTTGACGCATCTCCCGCCTAGCCGAGCTTGACGCGGTGATGTTTTCCAGGCTCGAGTGCAACGGGTGTGGCAGTTGTCGCTTGACCATTGTTTTTATTATTCGGAAATTACACAGCAATTAGAGAATAGCAACGGCTTTCTTTTCCCATCCACACATCAGAAGGAGAAAGATAAACTCTGAACTAGTGCAGCCAGTTCAGCTGTAAAGAACAGACCGCGAATGATTTACAGTTCAAAATGAACAATCACCTCACACACATTACACAAGATTTACAACTTAGGATATTATTTATAATATTATATAGAAGTAGAATGTTATGGTATCGTTTCGCCGTGTATCGTAAAACTGATAAAGAACATTCGGATGACACACTTTATCATTGAGGCCATCAGTAGTGACACTGAATCATTTGCTGCGATAAGATAAATGTGCCAAATCTTATTTTCGTAATAAAATTCGGGAACTTCAATTGCAGTTCATTCGCTTCGAACTCATAATTTTCGTAACAATGCAGAAATCAGATCAGTTTGCAATGTTGACGTATACCCCAGATAGCACAAGACACTCCTATGGACATTTTAAGAATATTCTTCAAGAATATTTGGACCATTCCATAGGTCATTCTTATGAATTTATCTTATGTTCGTGGAACAATCGACTGGCGCTACTATAAATCTTTTTTGAATGTGAATAGAATAATCTATCGAATATAGCGTATCGGTTATACATATATGGTATGATCACAGGTTTCACTGCCTTTTGCATAAGATAATCCTAGTGGCACAGTGCATCGAACAATCATTGGTTAAATATTGGCCCAATATTTGGTTGTGTTGGGCCAACGTTTAGCCAATGCACTGTGCTACTAGGGAAGTGTAGTACACAACGAACAACGCGCAATACATAAACTCGATGAATATTAAAAAATTATTCTGAACGAATATTCTAAAGACATTCTCGACGAATATTTCAAAAATATTCTTCTTTGTTATGAATATACGATTTCCAATTGTAACAACTCTTACGAAAAAGTAACGAAATAATTATTAGAAAATTACTGTATATCAGTAATTGAACTATCAGAAATTACTGATGTACAGTAATTTTCTAATAATTATTTCGGTGCTTTTCCGTAAGTCCCAGTCTACAATAGAGATTTAAGCCCTAAGCCTTAAGAAATTGACTAATCACAGTCGCGCATTCTACTCATACTTGACCGTGATTGGCCAATTTCTTAAAGCTTAGGGCTTAAATCATCTATTGTAGACTGGGACTAAGGGAATCTATATACATTTATAGAATATTCGATTGGAATATTCTGAAATTGAGAATATTTGAACTTTAAAAGAATATTCGTAGAACTATGTGTGCTATCTGGGACGTTGCGTGCGTCAGCAAATGCATTTTATATTACAAATTAATTACATTAAAGATCGGTAATTAAATGCGTATACATATTTGTATCAAACGTGATCGATTGCAACGTGAGGTCAGTCGCGACTACGAAGAAGCGGGATCCAAATTTTTTATTACAATCATGTAAAAAAATGTAATAACAGATAACTATACTTGTATGCCCAGTGAGAAATGATTCGTCGATCGATGTCGAAACGACGTCGAATCGACATCGACACCGTCGAATTGATGTCGATTCGACATCATTTCGACGTCGATCGACGAATCATTTCTCACTGGGTGCGTGCTCGTAATAATTAAATATTGCACGAAATCGTCTCTTATTCTCTTTTTCCGAGATAATACAAACTCAGAACGATTGCCTGATCGTCCGTTTATCAGATAAACTTTATCTCATCTGGCTTTCATATCGATTGTTTTCCCTCTGAATAGTTTGCACGTGTTCTAGCCTGCAGTTCTAACTTAGCGTGGACACGAACCATGTACCGTTACCGAGTGTAACAAATGTAGTTGACGTCCACTTTCTCAGAGGGCGTATTCGTCTTCGACGCTTGTTGGCCGTTTACAAATTTTCCTTTGATATATCTACGATTAATAAATAATCTAACCTCTTTTTTTCATTTGCAATTCAAGCTGGAAACACACGAAGAAACTTGAGCAGCGAGACTTGAAACTTAAGAATTTCAACCAATCGGAATTTTCAGCATTGCTCAAGTTACAAAATGACTGCCCGCGTTCTCGACAGCCACCGGTCATTTCTTTAAAGTATTTCAAGTTTTACTGCTTAAGTTTCTTAGCGTACTCGGGCCTTTACACGAAATCCAATATTCAAAGAGAGAAAGAGAAAGACATGGCTCAACAATTGCGATAATCTTTGCGCAGCTGTAAATGAATCACTTTTTTATAATGATCGATGAACGTAAAAGTGTGAAAGAAAAATAAAGCCATTGTTCACCTATCGAACTCTCGTCAGATGTGTATAATGTACAAGCAGAGAGAAGCCTGAGTCCCGCGCTATGGTTAGGTTCCATGCAATGATTTTGTACGTAAGATAATCTTGAGTATAGAAAAGCATCGCATGACGATGTCACAAGGCGCGATCAAAGTTTCACAAATCTGCATTACCCACTTGGCAAAGTGTGTACATTGGCTACGTAGTTCACGTCCGCATTTTCCAATGTCCACAGAGGGCGTATTGCATTCGCCAATCACTGGGCCGTGGCAGCTGGTGGCAGCTCTCGGAGTACAAGTTGTAAGAGAATGCAAAGTGTAGAGCGACGATTGCATCTTTCTGGCAATAAAAGATGCTTTCACCTATCCGTAAGTTTATTCTTAATCTATAAGTTTAATGTCGTATAAAATTTACAAATATAAAGTTGAACTCTAAAGAATCTATACCTGTAAATTCGTCGAGTTCTTATCGTAGCCCTTATTGCAAAAATTAATAAATATTAAATATCAACGAAAAAATACAATGGAATTAGAGATGCATTCTACTTTTACTCATCTTACTGAAATCAATTTATTACAGATTTAGTCTCTTCTAAGTCATTTAAAGGGAGAAACCTAACAGGAACCCAACGTCTGGTACATGACTTAGCTGTGGATATTCATAAGAATATACAGCATTGGAACGATCTTCATAGCCAAGGATTCGCCTATCTGAAAGAAATAAAGCGGGAAAAACGCGATGAAAGTTATTCCGAGGCTTTACAAGATTTATGTGACAAGTTGGAAAACATTTGTGACGATCTGGCAAGTGTTTCACCTGAGCATCTCTTTTACCACAACACTTTACCATTTTTATGCTTCACTGGTCCATGTCATTTTGGCGTATATGTATTTATTGATCTAAATAACTAAAAGTTTATTTACAGGACGTCGTAGTTGGAAACCTGGATCAAATTAAACATCAACTAACGACTGTACCGGGCTTGCATAAAACTGTAGACAAATTGTTCGTAACATGGCCGATAACAAAGTTTGGTAAGAAACGACCTCAGCAAGTCAGATTTGTTAAGAACGCACTTTGCAAAATGTTTGCTAAAAATGTTGTGTGGAAATACCAGCAGAAATGTAATTTTCTAACGGAATATAATGGCAAATTGATTACAGAAATTTAGTAGAATTTGTTACTTTATTATTAAATATTGAAATGATGTTGGCAGGCTCCGTTGACGGAATGCAAGCTTAATAAGAACATAGTTGGCGCCAATCTGTTATTCCATTCGAATCTGCTGGCAAATCGCTAAAACATGGCTAACGTTTTGCTTACTAGAAACTTGTTTGTATATGATGAGAGTACTTGTAATATTTTTATTATAATTTTGATTGTAATGTTACTGTGTGCGCTTAAAAAATGTTTAGGTGAGGTAGCAGAAACTATACATAAAGCATATCATATGGAGGCCAAATTGAAACGCAAATTAGTTGAAAATGTTGCTCACAATCATACGGAATCGTCGAAGATGCTCCATATTGCAGCATGGGTGTACGAGCCTTCACTAACTGAAGATTTAACAATTTTATTGGAATCGTTTCTTAATGAAGTTGGCCTTAGATGATAAAAGCTCTCGATGCAGCATTTCATTTCTTTTTCATTTTAATAAAGTTAGTAAAGTAACGATGAATTGCAATTTTATTCATATTAGGCAGATTCAAATTAAAACATTTTAATATCGGTACAGGTATAACCTAATATACGATAGTTGATAACTATTTCAGTTTTTTGAGCAATGAAGAGAACAAAGTTGTTTAAACTCCGATTCTATTAGTGTACAGTTATGGTTATTTAAAATAAGTTTTTCTACATTTCTTTTTAAACTTTTATTTGTCTATTCCTTCTATATAAAAATGTATTGCGATAATACAAATTTCTTTGTATATTGTATTTTCTTATTTAACAAAAGAATAATCATATTTTAAGCATTCAATGAGATTCCTCTATTATTGTTATATTCAAGACAAGCATTTAAATATTTTATCTTGATATTAAAAAATTTTTATTAGTGATTTAAAATATATTAATATAGCCCTTCTTCTTTTATTTCCAATTTCCTGAAACATTTAAGTGGCAAAAGTCGTTAGAAAGAAATTTAATGTAATACTAGAAATTAAATGAAATTAAATATATATTGTATAATACAATATGTATATATAAATAGTGTAGTTAGTTTCTGAAATAAACAGATTTCTCATATACAATCTATGTTCTTTTAAAATGCTACTTTATTATTATAAACACGTACGATAAAAGTTTGTAATTTATAATTTTTTATAAAAGATGAGAAAGAGAGAACAAAGAAAGAGAAGAATAGATAAGGGGAGGAATTACTTCACTTGATGCAGTACTGTTTCCTAATCAGTTACTTCCTATTATTAAATATTCTTAATGTTGAAACTCTAATTAATATGAATATATGTATATTAGCAATAATCATTAATCAATAATATCCATAAAAATTATACAAGAATATTCTTAATTCCACATTTGTGGGTAAAAAGTAGATGTTAATAAATGTCATACATTTTCCGTAATGGTGAGAACTCATGATTAAAAAATAAGCGAAGAAATTGCGCTAGTTTCAACATTAATGCAAAAACATTACAAAATTTTCTTATTTTTAAAAAATCGCTCTCATTTCAAGTCACGAAATTACATTGGTTGTCACGCATATATACAGCCTTAATTTATATGTCGCAAACTAATATATGACGTATTATTGAAAAGAACATACAACATGGTTTTTTTATTCAATAATCAAACAGAAAATTCATAATGGTAATTTACAATCATTTTTTTATAATTTGAAAAAGTACAGAAAGTACTTCCACATAAAATCAATAGGGCGTCTAAATTACATCAAAATAGTTGAAATTAGCTGTAAATATACATTTAGAATATTCAATTAATAACCACGATAAAATTCCTTTTTCAATACTTATTATATATGTATATATATATATATGTATATGCACAAAATTATATTTCTGAATGACGTTCATGAAAACATTATTTCCAGATCATCCATATCCGACAAAGAGAAATCATCAGACAAATCGTGAATATCGACATTGGGGTCGTAATCTGCACCAGAATCGTCACCAGAATCATCGCCGCTTCCACCATCATCATCGCCATCATTGTTTCCTCTGTTCTGATCGTTGTCATCGCCGTTGTCTGCGCCAGCATTATCACCATCTATTTTTTTACGGGAATGCAAATCAATTCTAGTCTCATATTCGAACATTATAATTTAATTTATAGATATATAAAAACTTATGACACTCGCAGAGCACACTGAGATATCTCAAAAATATATAACAATAATATCAAGTTTTACCATCTGCATTATTATCATCAGATCCATCATCATCGCCATCATCATCGGTAGCATCAAGATCATCTTCCTCGTCATCCTCATCAGCTTCATCCTCGTCGTCTCTTCTTCTTCCAACGTCGTACAACCTAGCACAGGATTCCTGTATGCTAGAGAATTCACCCAGATTTTCTACTATTGCAATCTGAGTGTCATATTTGTTACAGGCGAGACTATAAATTCCTCTTTTCACATCACAAGTTGCTGAAATATTAATATACATAATTAATTAGAAAATTATTTACAGGATAAAGTTAAAAAATGTACAAGCGTTATCTTTGAAATAGTAACAATATATTTCGTGTATATTATAATATGCTTCTCACTTACCAATGTTACTGTAATCTAAAGCATCTAGTGTTTTGAAGGAAGTCGAATAATGAGAATCGGTTTCATTGTCTTGATCTAATGCGACTGCATATATAATATTGTTGATTGGTGAGAAAATCACTTCCATGTCGTCGAGAGTGGGAACTGTCTTAAGTAGGTGAAACGTTCTCAAATCCCATACTTCAGTATTAGATACAACTTCTGTCCCGTTCGGATGGAAAACTCCGTTTAACGTTTGATTTAATTTGTCGAATTTATGAATTTCTTTGCCCGAATTAACATCCCATAATATGCCGTCGCTAAGTACTAATTCGTCGTTCATACTAAAAGTTGCCCGATTCTTCGTATATTGATTCGAGATGGATGGTGTCAAGGTTGTTAATAATTTTCCAGTTCCTATATCATATATCTGTAATAGAAAATATGTGAAATTATAGTCTTATTAAGATCTTTTAAAATCTAATGCAACTGGAAAGTTAAAGCGCTCCTCTTAGCTATTAGCTCAAAACAATGTCATTTGCATTATACAATGCAGTTGATAAAATTCAATACCAATAAAGTCAGTATATATTTACCGTCGCGATCTCTCCTTGGGTACCAATTATTCTATCTTGCAACTTGCCAAATTCAACATAATCTTCGTTCTCGAAGGGTAGCTTCATTTCGAAGAATGCTCCGATGTCCCAGAGCGCCGACATAGGACTTCTCCAAGCAGTGGAGGTCAACAAGAGATTACCACGCTGGTTACATTCCATGTGATACACATACGTTTCGTGGCATTGGTAAGTTGCCTCTTCCATTCCTGAGTGGACATTGAACATTTTGATGTCTCCGGCATGGGTGCCCAAAATGAGATATTGTGTGCAAGGCTGCATTCGATGGTACAATTAAAAAGAGAGAGACATATGAAACAACAGTTTATGAGAATCGGAAGAACAGTTGACAGTGAAGTAAAATTTACCGAGAAAGCGCAACAGGTAAATATTCCTCCCGTTTCTGTAGGCCGAAAAGTTTTTATAGGACAAAAACGACTATAAATATGTCTTCTATCTAATCTTCTACCGTCTATTCCCAATGCTCGTTTTGTTAATCTCGTCGTTACATTTGTAGGTGAAGAATTTTTTGTACACGGGTCTGGACATTTGTGTGGTCTGCAATATGAATTGAAGTACATACATAAAATAAAACTGAAGCAATCGCACTTTACTTACATTGTATAACTATTTTATTCATAAATAGAAAAGTATTACTTACTCAAAAAGATTGAATTGTGGGCACGTTACCATAGGATTTTTACAGAGAGCATGTTGATTCGTTAAATATTCTGTGATAATAGAATCAAGAGTAACCGATACGTTAGAGGAGGCTATACCAGGTCCTCCGCCACTTCCGGGATCTCTGAAAATCTGTTTCTGTAAAGATCTACAGCTAGTCGATTGGGGCTGTATCGTAGATTGATAATTAGTTGGAATGACTAGAGGCTGCCTTTCGGATGATATCAATTTCCTACGACAAAACAACAATCAAATTTTACATACGTAAAAATAGGGGAATATTAACTGTAGGTATATTGAAGAAAGTAGACGCAACTTACTTCTGACTAATTTGTAATTTAATTGGCTGGTTTGCATTGTTCGAAATAACATTTTGATTCAGGCAATCAGCAAGTTTTAATCGGATGTTATTATTCACAGCCGGTGAACCAGTGCATGTACCGGTATGGGATATAAATCGAGATGACGATGTAGGAGTGGTATTGTTTCTACAAGTAGTTTCTCTTTGTGTACATCTACTTGTATTATACAAGTTAGCAGGAGCACCTGGAGAAAAACTATTCCTTGGCTAAAAAAAAAATAACATTTTGATACTCGTAACATATATCTTATACAAATGTGTTATTTTACAATTATTATAAAGAAGAATGTGCATATACATATATGAATCTTTTATCTAGATTTAAAAAGATCTTATTGATCATAATTTTAACTTACAGTTACACTCGCAGGATTTCGGTATGTAAAAGGTTGATATGTTATTGCAGCTCTCATAATCGCAGATGATTCCAAGTTTGCTTCTCTCTGTAATAAACTAGCCGTCTCATTTAAACCCTTTGACACAAGGTGCTGATATATCAATTGATTAAGCTGTTGTTCATTATATTGTATTCTCGTTTGTGCTACAACATTTGCCTGAAAAAATCATTTCGTTTAGAATTAATCATACATATAACACGAAGGCGAAACTGAACTCGCTCAACACCAAGAGGAACTTTTCTAAAAAAACTTTTCATTTACAATCGTTACATGATCGATCGAACAATTGCGAGAAAATATAAATTAATATACCAAAGAGAAATAAATACTTCTGAAGATGTTAAAAACAAGTTAACGTCAAAGAATTCATAATTGAAAAATATGCAACTGGGGTATCGTGTGCGTATATGTAGTTTACAAGCAACTTACCCTGTGTAAACTGACTAAGGAAATTTCATATTCTGCACCCGTTGGCTTCGCTTTACCGGACACCCTTTCCATTAATTCGAGGGCATATTTTTGGAAAGTAACATGTTCTTGACGCTTCTCTTGTAAGATAGGATCCTTCATAAGCGACTGAATTTGCCCATTCGTGAACATTGGTAACTTACTAATAATCTGCCTAACTTTCTCACTACGTGCTAGTCCAGCTAGCGCACGACACGCCAACGCTCGTATGCTATCGGCATCAGTAATAGGTGTCTTCACCATCATTAACTGTAGTAGTACCTGTTACGAATGAACAATTTTATATATAAATCATACCCAAATAATTATTTAAGATACAATTACAAAATAATTACTCAAGACACATACCATTATGCCGTTATTTGACCTAACACTTTCCCATACTTTCTGTATCAATTCTTCGCTATTGTGAATATTCGCTTTCTTCTTGGCAGATCCAGTTATAGAATATCTAGCTACATTTCCTCCGACCTTAAAAAGTCATCGAGTACTATCAAAATTAGAACAGTTTGGAGATACACGCGAGAGAATAATTTGTATAAAATAAAACTTACTCTATTTATGGGGGCACATACACAATTAATTACAGCCCTTAGTGCTGCTCTTTGTACATCGGCATCTGCAATAATTTCACACTCAGCCGCGGCTAGTAAAAGATTAATCGCCATCGTCATCGACATGTCTGGCATGTCGACTCTTTCGCACAGCAGCAACATAACTTTTGGTACAACGGAACAAATTGCGATAACATCCAAACAGGATCTGACCGTTTCTGCACTAGAAGTAGTGTGTACCCTGAAAAATTATCAATTATTTACAAAATTTTAAAACTCCCACTGTGTCTTCGTACATGTAATATAATTTTAAACGCAAAATTACAAAGATCCGATAAACTTTTGTCAATGAATACAGCTGTGTCCGCTTATTATTAACTTACCGTCCACTATAGTTCCATTCGCGAGCAAAAGCTATGATTTGCAAAAGCAACGTGATACCACCTAAACGATGAAGTTCTTCCACTGGTGGCCATACCGCTCTAACTGACATAAATTCTTGCAGAACCTCCACTTTCGCTTGAACTTCTTCGCTGCTAAACTTGCATGCCTAAAATAATAAATGTCTCAAAATATATCATATATTTTATCGAACACATTAAAACGCAACAATTAATTTATAACAGAGAAAAAAAGAATGCAATGTCAAGTAATTACACGCGCAAGTCGTACTTGTTAATGGGTTTGCGTAAGTAAACGCAATTTTAAAAATAGAACCGCTAAAAGAAGCATTTTAACTTGTACTTCAAATAATTATATAGCAGGTTCACGAAATTGGCCATTCTTTACCACTTTGAGAAGGAAACCTTCTTTCAATGCATAATTAACTATTCATTATACACTTACCTTGTAGGGTGGTAATGAAGGCTGCCATGTATCGCGTTCAGCTCTAACGTTCTCCGCACGCTGCAATTGCTCCGCTTTTAAATGCAAATGCGCTTCCATGTATCTCTTCAAAGCAACAGCCACGTGTCGTACAATCTGCCTCGACGCGCACTCTTCATCGTCGTTTATCGTTGGCTCTTCTTCGATATTTAGAATTGGTAAAGTCGATATCTGCAGCAGAATTTTACTTATATGTTACCGAGCAAAGAATAACTCCAGCCTACGGTGAGATCTACCTTCCTCACAATAAACAGTGCCACTTCTTGTCTACTTTAAACATGTGAGTAAATATGAAGTTTCTTTTCACTTTGCTTAGCCAGCGTAAACAATGGCCAATGCTTTCTTACCACGTTGAACAATTTCCTCAGACCATCCTGCGCGTCGAACTCCTCCAGTATAACTTTGAATGGGAAAGAAAAGCCAAAGAACATGGTCGCGTGACAACGTCCGGAGTCGTGGCTGCGTTCCAACAGCCACAGTGCGTAAGTCACGAGATCGGATATTATGTGCTTCGGCAGCAGGCACACTCGTTCCATGGCGTCCTCGCAGTACGCGAGGTAGTACAGACATATGGATACACCTGTCGCCGCGACACTCGGCCTCGGCACATCCAACAGCCTTTGCAAACCGCCGACATTTAGAAATTCGATCGAGAACTTTTTGTGACACAACAGGGACGCGAGATACTTGAGCGCCTCGAAAGCGAGTCTGCTGTCCTTGGTCTCGCGCACGTTTATGTACTTCAGTATCAGGTCCAGGGCGTTGTGTTCGAACACGTGGCCGAGGAACTCCTGGTACTCTCCCATCGGTGTCAGATATCGCAGGATCAGCATCTGCCGAGTCGCGAGAGTAGGGGGATGCATTTGCACGCTACCAATGACGTAAGACTCCATCTCGGCCCAGGAAGAATTTGAATTTCCGTCCAGCAAATGCGCGTTAGAGCCCTGAGACAGGCCGGACGACTTTTGCAAATTGCACCTTGCGGACGCCGGGACATTCAGGATTCTCGCGGACTGCAAGCCGCTCTGCTTGGACGGCGTCACCGACAGACCCACGGGATTGCCTTTCGGGATGGACAGAGGCGGGGACATGATCTCGGGATACAGCTCGCTGTTCTTCACGGGCGTCTCGCAACCGGAGTTGCTCTTCTTCTTCTTGACGGCCGGCGTGTCGTCGTGCACCGAGTCGTTCTCGTCGGAAGACGGCGAATCCTGATTTCTCGTTATCCCGTTTTTCTGCCACTTGGGCCGTATCTTGCGCTTATCAGGGCTGTCGTTGCAATCGGCAACGCTATTCCTGTCCTGCCCGATGTGAGCGAACGGCCGAACGTTCTTCTGATAATCCTCGTGCGCCTTCTGCTGGCGGTCTTCGTGCGCTTTCTGCTGCAGCTTGTATAACCGTTGCAGCATCAGTGGCACCATTTTGGCATTTTGATCTCTAAATCCTGTAGCTATATCCTGCACTTCCATCGCGGCGGCTAGAAGGCCGGTCGAGTAGCTCTGCAACGGCTCCATGCTCTTCTCTGCCCACGAGAACAATCTGTGTATAAGACCTTCCATGTCTGGCTGAAACACTGCTGACGTTTCTAATCCCGGAAGTATGTCCAGCATCAGTCGACAGGCAGCAACGTTCAGTTTTCTGACGTCTCTCCCGGTTATTCCCGCTCGGGACCAGTATGTGTCTCTCAAATAATCATTTATTAACTGGAAACAAGCATATCGCGTTATTAAAATATGTAACATTTCACGGGCCGAGATTATAATTTCTAAGTACAGACAACAAGAGTATCGTTATTAAGCAAACGCCGTTTCACGTGTACCACCGTTTCTGTCAGAACTGATACAGCGATATATTCCGCTTTGCTTACTCAATGGCAAACTCAGCGAGCAGAGTTAACTCACGACGAAAAATACTGTACAAAATGCCCGTCAAATATTTTTCAAGTTGTGATAAAGGCAAGATTTGCTTGAATCTCACTTGAATATTGTTACAGCTACCATAAAAAAACACACAAATGTGCGATACGTCCGCTGGATTTTACAACGGCAAGAGTTGTCAAGGAATAATTACACGTTGCTCTGGAAATAGTCACCTTTGTCATAAAATTATCCTTTCTAAATAAAACCTTCAATATGTGTCCAAAGTTACACTCCGGATCGGTGCGCGACGGATGTCTCTCGTCGAACGGATCCGGATCCATCTTCATGTAATTTTCCGTCTCAAGCTCTATTATATCCGCTAATCTCTGAAGGACAGGGATGGGATCGTAAGCCGGCAAGCTGTGTTCCTCCTCCCATTGTCGTAGAATCTGTACAACATCCGTCACTTCTGCGAGCGACTCTGTATTCGCCATTATTTATCTGCAAACACGTTTAGGTATCAATTTCAAAGTCCTCCTCTCTCTCTCTCTCTCGCTCTCGCCGAGATTTCAACGTGCGGCAAAATTTCGTGCAAGATCTTATAATTCCGCGCGGTGTACGCACACGCACGACGATAAAAGAAATGATATCGCGCAGCACAGTTCCCCGCGTAGGAACGCGACGATCTCTCGCCAAGGAATCGGCTCGCGAGGCTTCGCCGCGCGGGTGCGCGGCGTAAAGGTTAAACCGCGCGCGAGACGCGGCGCGGGGCGCTCGGTGTCGATAATATTTATAACCTTCGCGACGCGTCAAAGTCACTCGGGGAGAAAAAACGTTCCGTCAGCCGGTCTCGGGGGCGAGAGCACCGTCAATATCACGAGGCGCGAGCCGCCGACATAACCTCCAAAGCGGCGGCGGCGACGGGTAAACAAAAGGCTCGACATAAACAGAGGGACCGTCGGCGGTGCCGTCCGAGGGTGGGAGACACCGACGCGGCCGCGACTCGCGCCCGACGTAACCGCGGCGGAAAACCGGACGGCCCCGGCCGGCGCCGACGAGGATCGCGAGGACTCGCGGCGAGGCTCACGGTATGCAGCGACGTGATTCGCCGCGCGCGTCACGGTGTGGCGCGTGTCTCTTGCAGGTTAGGTCTCCCGAGCGATGCGCCCGTCTCGCGTGACAATCTCCGCCCGACGACCGTTCCCCGGCGATTTCGTCGGACGATCGTCCCCGGCGACGCGGTCGTTCGGTGCGCACGCCCGCGCGGTCCGACGACTTGTAGACTTACAAGCGTTACGTTATCACGTTTCTCCGGCTCACAGATCTCTACACCTGGACGACTGTATATACAGTGGCGCGACTCGCTCTGTCGGCGTCTTTGACGTGCGCCGCCGTAGAGGAGTGCGCGTGCGCGAGGCGAATGAGCCGCCCCATCTCGATTTGAATTACACTTTCTCGTTTGAGATCGAGTTTTTTTTTTAAAGAATTTTTGTAGCTTCGAAAGGCTATTTTCTAAAAGAACATTCAACTATTCTGACAGGAAAAATCTTCGGGGTCGCCAGCAATAATTAACAGCATCAAATTTGATTGACCGTATCTGGCGATTATTTTATGTTTAAGCATCGCGATGCTTAAACGTTAAAATTGCCAGATACGGTCAACCAAATTTGATGTTATTT